TTACTTTCATGACCTTTCTGCCTTTCCTTGGCTCTTTTATGGAGACATCTGACTCCCACGGTGTTTCTTGTTGTTCAGGCAAAACCAAAAAAGATAGAACTGGGCGACGACTGAAAATAGCTAACCCACTTGAGAGTGATAAAAGCATCTGTTGAAAATCTGGTAACCAGATCTCCTTGGTACCAGAAAAAAAAACACACACACACACACAAAAGCTGGTGGGTGGTGTACAGGGTACAAAGAAAGGGAGTCCCTGAGTGTCAGCATCTGGCGAGGCCACGTGTAGCATAATCTGATTAGTTTTCAGTTCCACACCCACAAGCTGAAAGATAAAAACACACACCCCTCCTCCCCGAGGAGGTAAAAATCTTCAAGCGTCAACACCACATTTACATTCTGCAAGTCAGCCTCTTCCATGGCCTGATTTACATCTTGACTTCTCCAGCGGAGCGGTGTAAGTTCAGTGATGGGAGACGAGCTCACGTCCCTTCCCAGTTACCGCATCCAGCAGGCTCAAGATTGCCTTGCTTTGATCTGGAAAGCATGCCTTCATTTAGTTCAAACTGAAATGGTTGAACTGGAGACGAAGCCTCCTCACATCTTCTGCCGTGCCTGGGATGTGATAATTGCACATGAGCTTCTGTGGGCCATTTTCACGTGTTCTGAGGCCATCCTGGAGCGGGGAGCTGGAGCACCAGCGCAGGCACCATCTGCCTGGCTGCGGTTTGTGTTGCCTTTATTGCACTCCCTTGGTACTATGTTCTGGTTTGGTTCATGTAAAATGGCCAAAGTGGTGCTGGGGTGGATTAATGGCAATGCTTTCTGTCTCTAGAAACAGGTTGGTGTTTGGCTTGAAATAGCTGTGTAGCGGTGAGAGATGAGAATATTGCTCATCGTTTTGGAGCAAACCATGGATTGATAATATCTTAACGTGTTTTATACTATGACAACAGACAATTCAGAACAGCTTGTATAGCTTTTGCCTGTTGACTCTCAGGTTCTCTCATCTCTTTCCCATCTCCTTGCCCGTGACCTGATCTGTACCAGTGGCTGCTGGGTCCTGTCCTTGTGCAGTACCCCATGGGACAGCCTCAGTCCTTTCATATCCAACACCACCTGTGACCGTAACTACTTTGTCCCCCTCCAAGCCCAATCCATTCCACGAAATCATCTTTTATAACAGAGCAACCGGCACTAAATGCAGTGTTGCAGGCATTGCAATAGGGGCGACATTATTTTATTCTGTTCTTTATGTACCTTTGATATTGCTTTTTAATGTACTCGCTGCTGCAGCAGATCACAGATTCTCCCTGAGCTATCCACACTTGCTACCCTAATCTTTTTTCCTGAAATAAAATTACACCTCATGACTGAGACCAAGGAATACAGCTTTTCTTAGCGCGCTCCCCTGGGATCAGGAATTTCTCTGTCAACGGACACATATATCAATGAGAGATGAAAAGCAGCTTGTGGAATGAGTTTTAAACATGTATCACATATTTCATTGCTGCCGGTTATGTGCTACTCAGAAGGCTTTTTAGAGTGTTTTCAGCCCATACCTCATGGCTCCTCTGTACTTAATAGGATTTTATTATTTTTTTTTTTCTGCACAGGAATCAGGGCAAGAGAGTTATTTAAGTTGCCTACACTTCTTTGTGAGCACCTCCTGAATATAAAGTTTTTGTTGTTTCCTGCTTCCTTGCAATGTGGGCACGTCTTAGCTTTTATCAAAGCACAGTAACCCATAATGTGCGAAGCTGTAATGTAATCTCGTCTCACTGGGACATTTCGCTGGGGGAGCGTGGCTCCTTCTGTAGATCTCTTTGTCACAACATGACTCCGTGTTGCAACCCTAAATTTGAAATGTCCAGAAGGGGAAGGCAAGTCTGCCTTTGGCCCCTTGCTGGTTTCTGGGGACTTGCAGTTTCATTGATGCCTGGGGTCTTCCAGATGTGCACAGAGCTTCTTTTCCCTATTTTTTTTTTTTTTTTTTTGGGGGGGGAAGGTGGCAGCACCCAAACCCGCACATCTCTAGATCATTTCAATCCAACCAGATGTGGGAATCTTTCTTCTTATTTCTTTTTTTCCCCTCTTTTTTTCCCCCTTTATTTTTTCTTTTCCTTTTTTATCTTCTCTTTTTCCCCCTGTAAAATGTACTGTTATCCTGCTGAATTTTGTCTTTTTGTGATAGACCTTGTTCAGTATAATAATAGTACACATAATTAAATAGAAACTCTTTCCTAGCAAAGCTATGCATGGGCAAACAGAGCGTGATGAAAACAAAGCTGGGGGTTCCTGGGCACAGGTTGGGGCAGGAGCGGTGGCCGATAGAACAGGTGTTTATGGAGTTACCTGAAGACAGTTAAACTAGCTTGTGCACCGGTTTGTTAGGGATTCTTTAGCAAAAAGGGCATTGTGTGAACATGGCACGGATTTTTCTACAAAAATTCAAAATAAAATTCACTTTGGGGGTGGATTCCTTCCCAGATCAAGTCAGCCCTGGCGTGTGAGGCTCGAGATAGGCTAATCGTGTTTGCCTTGTTTTAAGCCCCCTTGACTTTGCCGAAATGTGATTAGGATAGTGAATAGAAGATAAAAGGGGAGAGGAAGGAGATGCCTTTAAAAAACAAGAGTGGAAAATATGACTGGCAAAGGGAAAAGCAAATACATAAAAATTGTGAAGGAGAAGAAGATGGAGAAGGAGAAATCCCAAGAGAATACTGACTGTGTGTGTGTGTGAAAGTTGTTTCTTCAGATGTAACAACACCCAGCTTGTACAAGTTGTAATTTAAATAGATTGAAAAGATAATGCTGAAGACTACCAGGTTAGATGTTATCCTGTTAATTAAGCTGCCATTAGGGAGCTGTTACAAGCCCACCAAAAATCGTTCCCTGTTTAAAGTGACTGATACCTCCTGAAGAGAGGACCAGCCACTAGTGTCAGCTCTGACATAGAGCAGCATCTTCTCCTTAATGAGAAAGCTGCCGCCTACCCCGAGCTTTTACGTTGAGTCATCTTGGGGGAGAAAAATCGTACTTCAAAGTACAAAATAATGGGTCAACTAATTATTTTTTTTAAATTGCTAGAGAAGTTTCTCCAAAATTAAATTCCATCCAGTTTCTTCTCCTTTCCCAACCTGAATCCTTCAGTTCCCTGTCTAGAACCATGATTCCTCTGACTCAGTTTGGATTTAACTGCATAGTACTGACATCGCTTTGCCTGTATCATGTAGGCACCATGGTCCCAGTTAGATGATGTGATCCCGTGTACTTCAGTGTTGTGGTGAGAGGTACCATTGAAGGGCATTTATTTTTAAGAGTAGGAGTCTGATCGTTCAGTCTCAAGTTTCAGTGGCCTCACATATGCTTTTCAAATAAATTAACTGGTGCCGGAGTTGGTTCTCTGGCCCTAAGACCAATGGGACAATCTAACCGGGTCCGCAAAGCTGAACTCTCGTAGCCTCCAGGCAGATGGCTGTGTTGACATGGCTGAGGGACAGGGTGGATTATCTCAAGCCACTAGGCATCATCTGGAAGGGTTCAAGCTCAAACCTTAACCAGGGACCCTTCTTATTGATGAAGGCATAAAAATATCCCACGCAGTTACTGCTTGTGCCTGTGCCCCGGCACTACTTGCAGGAATGGAGGCAAATGTGGGTCTGGGTTGCAGTCAGAGGGTCTGGGCCCCCGTTTCAGCCCTGCCAGAGGCTTTGTGTGTGACCTTGTTTGGTAACGTAGGGTAAGATTCATTCCATTGAATGTTGACTAATGGCGAGGGTGTCTAATTAAACTAGTCATGTGTGCTCCCTCTCTGATCAGAGGAGGAAGAGAAAGCAAATTCAGAAGGTGAATCATCCTGTTTTAAGACTGGTGTCAGAGACAAATGAGATGAATTGCCCTCTGGAAGTAGCTATTTCTTTCCATTAACTGCAGAGGAAGTCTACATTAGAAGAGTTTAGACTAGATGCCTGATTTATGAATGGCTAAAGTTAAGCAAAATTAGTCCTGACCTTAATCTCTATGCATGCCTGTTTCTCCATATGTTGAATGATAGAAATAACACCTTCTGCGCCTCACATTTGGAGGCACCATTGGGCGAGGAGCATCCCATAACTACTTTGGAAAGAAATTAAACCTAGGAGTAAAAAATACAACAATTAGAGAAGGAAATCTCAATGACAATATGAGCAGTACCAGTTGGGGCATCCTGTTGCTTTTACCATTTTTTCCCCTTTACATTTTGACAACTGAGCGCCCATAAATGGCTTTTCCCAGTGCGGCCATATGGCACAAGGGCAGTTAGCCTTTTTCTGGGGAGAGAGGTAGGAGCGCTGAGGAAGGCTGACCATGCAAAGGAGTGTAGGACCCAGTCTTGGCCAGCTGCTTTGAAGCTTTTTCCTTGAGATACTGCTCTTCTCAAATGATAGTGACTATTTACTTTTTGGAAAATCTCCCAGAGGAATGAAAAACAGTGACTAACTATGACAGAGTTAAACTGAAAAGAAAAGAAAAGAAAAGAGAAATAAAAGCTTGAATTTTCTTAGCAAAAATCTGCCACATATAAACCAGGCATGGAATAAATGTCCCACTTGATAACTTGTACTTGCATACAGTAAGACTTACTTTTGGCAAAAAAAAAAAAAAAAAAAAAAAAAGTTTGCCCCTTTAACTACCTAGTGTAATTAAAGCAGGAAAAAAAAAAAAAGACAAAAAAGACCTTGTGTGGGTGTCCTCATAAGTGCTTATTTTGATCCAAATTGTAACTGGTTACACATCTGGATGGGCACAGTTGTGCTCAGTAAGGCTTTCACCAGCACAACCGTGTCCAAATCACAAATTCCCCCACCGATGTCGCTGTGTTATCGGGGGTAGCTGAGATACCTGTAAGTCCGTTAAATCTAATCACAGGTCCTTAGAGGCCATTTTGGGGGTTTTTTGGGTGTGTTCAAATTACTAAACCTTGTTATTAACGCTTTTATTTTATGATTTGCTGTTTCCAGGGCACAGACAGAAGCTTGATGACTCTAAACCTAGTTTGTTCTCTGAACGCCTCAGTGATTTAGGGCGCATTCCTCATCCCAGTATGAGAGTAGGGGTCCCGACCCAGAGCCCACGGCCCTCTCTGAACTCTGCACCAAGTCCTTTTAATCCACAAGGACAGAGTCAGATTACAGGTAAGAGACAGAACCATAGGTTTGACTTGCACAGGCAACGATAGTAATTGCTAATGGATATTTGTGTCTAAACTACAGTAAAAGAGGCTGTTACAGGGTGAGAGATGTGTTCCAAGCAAAGCTAGGTGGGAAGTGGATATTTCTATAGCGTTTGAAGCTGAAAATGTCTTTTTTTTTTTTTTTTTTTTTTTTTCCCCATAAGTCTCAAATAGTGCAAAATAGTCAATCTGGATAAACTGAGTAGGAATCTGGTGAGATTCTAACTGCCACGTTGCTCTGCCTTCTCCTCCCTATGTGCAATAAGTACATATTAGAATGAACATTTTTATTCAGCCTTTTTTGTTTTGCACTGGTGTTGAGAGAAACAGCCAGCATTTATTGTTCTTTCTATTGGAATAATAATACAATCTTCTCACGTGACGGTTTCCTTCTAGCACCAGTGCTGACCACTGTTACAATAAACGAACTGGGTTATGGAGAAGTCTCCCAAGGTTGCTTGTGAGGGTTGTATGCAACATTTATGATTGCATGCTGAGAGACAGATTTCATTGTGCTGAGAGAAATCGTAAAGTACCATGTGTCGCAGATTATAAGACTGAAATAAGATGTTTAACTGCAGCTATGCCAGAAGTTTGCAACAAAACTCTGAAGCCTACAAAATAAACCAATTTTGTCATTTTTTCTAAATTCAGAGCTCGTTAATTTTTCTAAAAGAGTGTCAAAACAACCTCTACCTAATTTTGGCTATTTCTACACTCAAGCCGTGTGCTGACATATTTGTGTCTGTCCAGGATGTGAAGAGGTGTTGCCCCTGACCAGTTCACTTCATAGAACTGTTGGAGAACTTCACCTAGATGCAAGTTCATCAACAAAACTCTTGGCTCAATTTACTAGACCAGTTTAAAACTCAGATTCACTGATACAGTTGTGTTTATATGAGGAGACCTTTGCCAATCTTGCATACTGGTATTCCTTTACTGGTAAAGCACTCCTAGTATAGACATTGAGTCAACCTAGGAAGATTTCTGGTTTCAGGTTTCAAGTGGTTTCGACATGATACCAGCTGAAACTTAGTGGTTTTAACAAAGTGTTGTGGCTTTCTTCTTCTTTCTTTTTCTTCTTTTTTTAAGTTCAACTGGTTTATTAATTTGCAGTAAGGAAGAGAAGTAAGTGGGTTAATTTGAACTCAGAGCATTGAAATGAAAAAATTGTTCCCATGAGCTGTGGCAAAGTTCTTCCATATCTAGAAGTCTAGCTGTAACTAGCGTAAAATGTTTAGAATATGTTAAATATATCGATAGTACCCATTACAAGGTACCTGCTGCCCATCAGCTTCACAGAGCAGGCTTTTTGGTCGGGCTTAGTGTTTTGTTCCTTGGATGTATGAAGTCAGGGCTCTTGTGCATGTAAATTTCTGGTTAAGAACTGCCAAACTAAAGCCTAATATTTTTTCTGACCTAGTCTTCCATCTGGCAGTGTTTGGGGACCTAGTTCTCAAGAAAGCAGGGGGAAAATCTGGGGCTATAATCAGCTTTTTTCCTTCTTCCTTGTGCCTCCATAGTTTACTTATTGTGCAACACTATATTTAGGAACGAAGGAGGGTGAAATTCTTCCTGACCCCATCTGGTGAGCAGTTTATGCCCTGAAGCACGAGAACTGAGATCCCCTTGTAATTTTCTTCCTAGCTCAGTGTAACCTCATATGCTGCTCTCATTCACATAAATGCCTCCTGTAGAAAATGTTCTGCAGGGTTTGATTAATAGAGTACTTCTCTGCCTCGTTATGAATCAGCAGCAGCATTTACAGATCCGGGAGGTGAAAACTTTGTATGAGCTTTAAATAAGCCTGGCTGAAAACAAAGCTGTGTGGTGTTTGCTGTCTTCTCTGCAAATTTAAGAGTGAGCAGTTCAACGTATGAGCTGAAACTTCATCAAGAGAGGGAAGATGTGATGCTGGTAGGGCGGAGGGAGATGAGCCGAACCGAGGAAGGCTCTATCCTATCTACTGTGGATTATGTCCTTTTCTTGCTGGATAAACTCACAGTTGTGGGACACTTTAGAATCCCAAATTGCCCTCATTTCCCCTAAAGCAGTGAGGACTCGGCTGCTTATTAAAGTTTGCAACAAATATGGGGCTCTACTGTGGTCAATAGAGTATTTGCCATGTTGTTACCCTCCCTTGTCTCCTCCTCAGTTTAGAAAAGCCAAACACCTAGCCCTCAAAGGCTACTTGTTAGCTTTCTGGTAGCCCTCCCATGTAAGAAGGCAATTAATGTGAGCATGTTACATCTGAGCAAGCTCTGTGAATTGCGGTGGCTTCACCACAAGGCTTTTTCGGTGCTCTTCAGGACGTTGATTGTAATCTGTAAAGCTCTTCGCACTTTGATACTCCACCAAAATTTCTGGGATGCTTTTTTGCGGACAGTCCTTCCGAGTTCTTCTGGGATGAATGGATGCTCATTGCCCCACAAATTGTGCCAACAAGAGACAAAGTTAATGCTGCAGACGAGGCACCTCTTTGATGGGGTGTTAGGTGACCATGGGAAATTGCTAAACGCCCGCCTGTTTGGTGTGGTAGTGGGGAGCGAGCTGTTCGGGCTGGCCATCTCCACCAGCTTCCTTGTTGTGGTGCGATATTCAGTGGGAATTACCCACTGGCTTCTTAACGTGGTCACTGGGCTGGTATGGCTTGGGTGTGTATTGAAAGGAGAATAGAACCTTATGTGAAAAACTAAGATTTTTTTAATTGGAATTAACCAAGCATTTCGTTAGAAATACCTTTGTTTCTTAATCTTTTTACCTAGTAATTTAGGGAAAATAATTAATTCCTAATAACTTTAACAGTAAATACTGCTTTCCTACGACAAAATCCATATTATTGCTAGTAAGCACATAAACTGTTTTTGTTTCGTTCCACTCGAGGTCTTGCATAGCTATTGCATGATTAAACAGAAATAATATTTAAAGCCTGCCTGACCCACACCTGAGTCTGAAAGAACTCAGCACTTTGGGGTTCACTCTTATATTTCTTTTCACTGTCTGGGTTGTGTTTATTTTCCTAGAGTATCGGAGTACAGGTTTTACAAATCACGGCACAACCCTAAACCGGAGGAGGACTGGGCTGTGGCAGCACAAGGCACAGAGTTGCCCTTATTCAACATGGCATTTTAACTAGGATTCTGCAAAAGCGACATGGAAGGGTCATTAAAAAACAAATCGTCCAATAAGCAGATGCCTTTGGTGAGGCAATGCAGATTCAATTTGAACCCCGCTTGCTGCCCGTAAATCAGGCGTCCTGTCTGTTCACATTTGGATACTGGTATATTTGCTTTTTTATTTTATTTTTTTTTCCTGTTCCCTAACGGCGCTCGCACAACTTGCTCATGTATCCGGTTACGTTCCCGTTCAGACACAGAGCTGTTGCATCAGTGGTTCAGTAGGAGAGGAAGAAAGCTGTTGTTTTTCTAAAATGCAACCGGTGAGGATTAGCTTCTATCGGCCGGGAAAAGCCAGGGGCGTAATGGCTGGAATGTGGTCGGTGCGAGGTCGGCGGCTGGGCTGCGGGGACTGCGAAGTGAGAGTTAAGTGAGGTTTCATGCTCCATCACCGCTGTGGCACCCTCTGATCTATAGGCAACCCCTGACTTTCATCACTGGAATAACAGCACTCAAAAGCAGGTCTCATTAAATATTTTTTTTTTCTTTTCCTCTTCCCCCCGTCCCATGCACTTCAGCAACATTATGCTTTAGCTTCTCAGAATTTGTAGGGTTGTAGGAAGCAGGTTTAAAGGCTTCAGACCTGGCTTACCTGGATGTTAGTGGGGCACCCATCTCTACTGGCAGGCAGGGGTTGTTTTCAGGGGCAGGGTAAACTGAGTCTGCTGGGAAGACCGTGGACAGAAAGCACCTTCAGCTCCCAGATGGAGGATGAGGATGGTATCAGCTGGGCCGGTCTGACGGGCAATGGGCTGGATGCTGCCCGTTTGCAGCAGAGTCAGGGAGAAGGCAGGAAGCCATGGACATCAGGATGTTGTCCTGGGCTCTGGGTATGCAGCTGTGCAGCATCTCAGACAAAGTGCACGGTTACCCGGAACAGATAATTTGGAAATTGCCCAAGTGATAGGCTTATAAGGGGAGTTATACCTTCAGCTCACTGTGACGTGGAATAAAAGCTACAAGACTCAGCAGCTGAGGTGGTGGAGCTGGGATTTCTGCTGCCATGAACACAAGGGTGGCTGCAGTCTGCTGTATTTTATGCAAATTGGTTGCATCCTTCAGGCAACTGGTGAGTTGCCATCGTGAACCTCCATTTGGTAAAGCTTGTGTCCCTCCTAGTAAAGTCTTCTTTTAACTTTTTTTCCCCCCTCCTTCACAATTTAGTTGCCCTACTGGCATGACTTGTTCAGTTTATTTATTATTTTTTTTTCTTTTAGAAATGTGACTCTTGAGGGGATGGGAGGAGAAACAGTTTTAGAGGTTCTTCAGGCCAAAATCTGGTCTTAATTACACTTGCGTCCACTGGGGTGTAACTCCATTGGATTTTACTTCATTGATTGAACTGGGCAATCCAGATCAAGTCCTGGGCTTTTACATACGCCTAAGAAATAGTCAGAGAAGAGGAGGAGGTTGCATTTTTGTTGCTGTTGTTTTTCTGGGGGGGTGGTGTTACAACAATAGTTGGGTTATTCATGCGGAAAGTCATCTTGGCTTTGTTAAGATCAGAAGTGAGGATATTTGCTTCAAGTGTTTACCAAAGATAGCTCCAGACAGCTTGTTTTTTAGTATTGGCATCAGCACTCATAGAACCAGAGGCAGCCAGCACTAGAGCTGATGGCTGGGTTGAAATGAGAGTGGTTTTGCAAAGAGCGCGCACGCGTGAGACGTTGGGATGTTACAGACAGCCTGCCAAGGAGCTGTGAGCCTGGGATCATGCGCTGATCATGTAACTCAGCTTGAGAAATGGGAAATTGATTTTTTTTTCTATAGTGAATCTGTGTGCTTC